CTTCCAGATCACATGTTTATCTATTCCAAGCCATAAGTGGGTCACCTGAATAGGGCTGGCAACTGAAATGAATTTTCTGAAATGAATTTTCTGTGGATGAAATAAAAAGAATGTCTCTCAGATCCATGACATGCCAAAGAACAGGTGTCATGCAGCAGATGAAGACTTATTTTATGTTTCATTACAATAAATTAAATGCATGACCTCAAATCACCAAGCACTCTGAGATATACCATATCTCCAGATGTTGAATTGTGATTGTCCTACATGCCCAGAAGATCATTAAAGGCAGAGTAAAAAAAAAAAAAAAACCAACTCTGCAGACACAAAGAACTTTCACACCTACCTCAGAATCAAATTTTAAAATGTTGAGCAAGGCTCTTAATAAGAGGTATTTTTACCCATTTCTCTTTGTGTGTGCGTGTGTGTGAAAGAAATCCTGATTTTTGTGTGTTGTTTTATCCTATGTGTTAATTAACCAAAATCAGTTCACTTTTACATCTTAGATTCTTAATTGTATCTTGTTCTTTTGAAGCAAGGCCAGCAATGTGGTGTCATTATCTAACTTCCACCCATTTATGCATCTTATTTTAAAATTTGAGACTTGACCACAACACATATAATGCACCTGTTTCTACTTATTAGAAATTTCCCAAAAAAGCAAAGTCAGTGGACCAGTTTGCCTAACCGAACAAGTCACCATGACTTCAGTAAGCCAGCATGTACCAGTCATCATTAGCCTAATGTACCTGCGCAGAGGTGACTTGTCATGTTGAAACAACCCTCAAATAACCCAACAACAGGTCATGTCTTTCACCTCAAACAAACCACGCTACCTGAGCTCAGATGAGAGGGCAGTCTGGGTAATCAGACAAAAGGTGTTTGGCTCATGCTGGTGATTGAAAGAAGCTGCTGTGGCTCATTTTCATCACATGGACGGGTGAATCTGATAACTCTCTCTCTCAGTTGTGCAGCTGAGCCAAAGCCACGGTCCAAAAATACAAGAATTGTGTGCTCCTTTAAGTTTTGGTTTTTGTTTCTCTTTCAAGATATAGATAACATATCATGGGGATGTTACCATTTTGGAATGGGAAATTGCCATAAAGTGGCTTTTATCTTGCCTTTTCACATGCTGATAATTTCTTATGGACTTCTCCCCACATGGATTCTGATTCACTATATCCTAGAAAACAATGAGACATCCTAGGTACAACAGTGCAAAGCCTGAGATTAGTTTTAATTGTCAAGCCTTTCAGGTGTTCTTCCCATAGTAGCAGTTAATCAGAAAATGTGGTAATCCACAAAGCAATAAACCATAATACTGGTTGTATATATGGATTCCAAGGTTGCATATACCAAGAAATACGTCCCAGTGAATTCAGTGGGACTTACTTTTGAGTAGACATGCGTAGGTGTGTGCTGTAAAACTGTTGCCCCTAACTGTACATTTAGTGCTCTTTGAATATCATGTGAGAGATCAATTGAAGGAAACAAAGTACAGCTTGCACTATTATGGCCCTTTCCTATACAATATTATCAGTGCCTATAGCACTTTTTAATTGCACATGTTTTGTTGCACATGGTTGAGTGGCTCATCCATGATAATATTACTATTTGTTCAAACTGAAACTTACGTCAGAATTAATTCTGTAAGTTACTGTGGCTGAAATTCTGGGGAACTGTACTTTTTGTATACCCGTTAATATTGATAGAGTGACTCCAGAATTCAAATTTTGATTGGCAGTATAATTTTATTAACTACCAGCTGACGTATTTACATTTAAATATGTTTCTGATTTTGTTGGGTGAAAGAACAGTCATTGGTCTCAGTCCAGTGGTTCACATTCAGAATTTAACATGCTCATGGACTGTTGTCTTTTATGTGCAAAACAATTGCATTGTTCATGTGCAGTAGACCATTTCTAAACTTGAAAAGTGAGTTTCCCGTCATAAACATGTGGTTTTGGATCATGTTCCCTGTTGAAGCCATTGTGGATTTTATCAATCTGATTTGACAGTTACATTATGTTTCAGCTATAATTTGCTAGGAAAATTTTATTAAATTTTTTGGAATGTCACTCAAGTATTATTAGAGAAGCACTCAAAATAGCTTGTGTTGCATTTTCCACTGTGCCTTCCTCATACACACATTTAGTCATTAGGTTGGATCTAAATACACAACATACCTTTTAATTAGCAATGAAGATCACATTGTAACATTTTCCCTGCACAGTTTTCACCAACTCTCCACTTTGCCAATGGTAGCAGCAATAATTAATGGCTAACTTTTGCCTTCAGTCAGTCATAATCGGAAAAAATTACCCTATTTACTCATTCAGGGTCATTTTTCAGTCTTTTAAAAAGATGGGTTATTTGTTCCTGTTTCATTGATGATGGGGTATTTTGAAATATATTTAAAACATAGAAGTCTGCCTTATTCAAGTCCAATCATTGGTCAATCTAGCCCAATTTATTTTATTTTATATTATATTACTATTATGTTTCAGTGCTAGCCAATAGCTGAACCTCTCTGGGCAGTTCACTGGATTTACTGATAGCAGCTTTCCAGGACTTCAGACTTTTCTTAGTCCTACCAAGAGATGCCATGGATTGATACTTTCTGCACACAAACCTTTGGCTGCTCCATAAACTATGTCCTTCAATCTGTACAAGTTTCTTAGTCACCTTTCCTCTATAAAAAGAGCTAGAATTCTGGACCTTTCCTAACCTAGCACCCTGCAGTGGTCTTAAACATCATTATCTGATGATGAAACCTATAGTCCATCACCTTTAGCGTGTGTTGCATTGGATTCTTCTGCACACATATATCAGCATGTCTGACAGTGCCACTGATTTGAAGTAGTGATATCTTGTAACTAGCTTATACTCAGGTATATACTCAGAATTTCTTAGGTACTTCTCATGAAAAAGTACTAATCAGTCAGTTTAAGGACCAGATCCATGAAAGTAATTCAATTTGGCTTGTACTGAAAGAGCCTTTCCCCCCAAGATAATGGATTCAAAGAGCATTTAAATAGCTCAAGAAAATTTGCTGGGTTGAAAACATTTCTAGAAGATGAGTAATTTGCTTTTGGTTTTGCTTACAACAACCCAAGGAACCAGCCATAGTCTCTCAGATATCTCTGTGTTAAACTGGATCAAGTAGTTTATAATTTGAAACATTCCAGTAAGCCAGGCCCTGTGTACTGGGATTGTTGGTCTTTTATATTAAGTGTTGTAATAAACATACTGTGTGCCTTGAAGCAATTTAGCAGCTCCTCAGCTTCTGCAAGATAGAACTACTAGTGCCAAAGTCAAGAGCAGTTTCCTTCCAATGTATGGCTCATAATACATCAGTAATGGCTAAAAGCTTTTTTGTTGATTCACACAGCAGGAAATTAGTTCACAGAGCACTTCAGCAAGGTCTGATGTATAATCTTTGTAAAAATTGCATTTGGGAAGAAGAAATTAGTAGAAATGGCTTAGGGTTTTTTAATTCATTCCCGGTGCATTATCTGATTATATTATGTATATAACAAACCTTGGCCTATCTGCACAGTCTCTGCATTGTTATTGTTTTTGTTGTTGTGATGTATTTTACATCACGCAGGTGCTACTCATAGCTCTCTGGCTATAACTTAATCCATTAGAGCAACTTTTCATTCCACACATATTCTTGGCTTTCAAGATCTTTTCCACTCCCCTAACACTAAGTGAGGTACCTGTGATGTACATCTCCTAACAATAAGAGATGTACCTTCATTACATGATGTAAATAGGCAAACAATTGCCACATACATGTTCTGTTGAGGCAGATTCCATGATACCGGCAGTACTAGGTGCTAAACTCCCTTTGACTGGCAAAGTGAACGCAGAGTATATTTTTAGAATCTGAAATGAGTAAAATCTGCCCCATCCCAAGTACATTTAAACCAAGTCCTACAAAGTTCTGTAGGAATTACTCCCATATATGTGTTTTTTGGGGGGGATTTTGGCCTAATCTTTGGATTGGGCCTCTGATGCTAAGGACTGAGATTGATTAGGAAGAATTATCTTTAACAATGGGACAAGCTCCTACGTTCAAAAGCAATGCAATCCTCAGTTTTCCAGTCACAAAAAACTGTCTGTTTTGTATTGATCCCATACCACTTCGTGTCCACTTCAAACAGGTCACTAGCAGTATAATGTCCTTCGAACAATATTTGTGTGAAAGGGGTGCTGTAAGATTTAGAGGAAGTACAGTTACTCTTTGTGTTGCCTTCAGTGCTGTGATCCCTCCCTCCCACAGATGTAAATAGCAATGTCCATATTGGGTATGGACATTTGAAATGTGGCTAGAAATATATTGTGTATACATTTCTCTTTTTCTGACGGCCACATAAAATAAATGGATGCCAAAGAGCAGGGATGCTCATGAGATTAAGAAAGGGACGGCAGGAGAGCCCCACTTCCCCTTAATTGCACAAATCCCCTGCCCATCTCCTCACCATACAAGTAATGCAGGAAGGATGCATAATTTGTCTAGTCCTCACCACAAATTGATATAATCTGCTTCCTTCCATGGAAATGTGTATATGGGAGCCTTTTGAGAAATAAGCTTATCTTTTGCAAAAAGAAAAAAGCAGATGCAATTATGTGGTTTCATAAAAACTCTTTAATATTTATTGTACATAAAAACAACTTAATGAAATCTAATTTGAACAAGCCCTCCGTATAAGCCCTGGAAACCAACTTAAATGCTTGTTCCAACACACTCTAGTTTCTGGCGTTGCTTCCATTGATACTTGACAGATTCACTTTGTTTTCTTTTGTAATGAGATGTTTATTTCCTAATCAATTCAATTGTCCTTCCTAAGACTGCTAGAAACACACGGTATGTGATATATATATAAAAAAAAAAAATGCGCACACAACAAAGGATAAAGAGAAGACTTTTCCAGAATTCAATTTAGTAATATGTTTTCTTATTTTTGTTTGTTTGTTTGTTTCTCAAAACTCAGCTTGGAAACCAGAAAGTAACTGCCAGTGTGATGGAGGTAAATGCATCACAGACACACAGACAAACTTCAGCTGAAGCTTCGTCACTGCCTCCTTCACCTCCTCCTCCCGTGGTGTCGATTAACAGACCCTCTCTCTCACCTGACAGTGGCACCCACGCAGCATCAGGCATCTTGCCAACACGCGACCATTTTTGGCCTTCACGCTTTTATAGAACCCTGGCCCTTTCGCGTTTCTCATATACATTCCCTTTCCTAGCTCCCGACAGTACCATCCACAGGACTGAAACGGCCTCTGTCATGACCGACTCAGCCATGAGCGAGTTCTCTTCTCGCCCAGTGAGCGAGGCCTCCACTGCCATTCTAGATGAGCTACAGAGCTGTAACTATGATACTACTGACCATTCTGAAACACCTTCCCCAACCTTGAGCCAGATGTCTGCCGTGTCAGATGGCACCACCTTAACCTCCACCGCTGCCGGCTCTCATGTAATTATCCTTCTGCTTTCCTCCTCCTCCTCCTCTCCTCCTCCTCCTCCTCCCCCCTTTTGTTCAGCCAGGCTGCCAAAATGGAACAGAGCTAATCTTTGTTGGTCACCTCATTTAATTCATGAGCATGCTGGTAACTGATGATATTTCTTAATAATGACATTTGTAAACTCCCCACATGTAGCAGAAAATAAATTTACTCATAGATAGATCTGATATTCTGGTGGCGGCAGCCTTCATGTGGAAGTTGAAATGGTAGCTACCTGGTCTGATCACTTTCTACATATAAATTAGTGTTTTCAGTACTCCTTCCAGAGAAGATACTTGGTACAGGCTCCCCCTAACCCAGCTTTTTAAAAACTTCCCTAATTTTTATTTTATTTGGTCTTATGCTTTTCCAATCCATTGGGTCTCATAATCCTTTTGTTGCTGTTGTTTTTGGGGTGAGGTATACATCTTTTTCAGGTACACCATATGTATTTTCAGTTTTAACCTCCATCTCAGAAAATCTGCTCTTTTAATTCAACAATTCAAGGACAAGTTCTTTGGTTATGGTGCACTGAGCAAGAAGCACAAGCAATTCATACCTGCTGTTTACTTCGCAATGGGGGATATACAAGAATTTCATTTTGATGTGTTTCTTACACAAATTCACACACCTGAATGGAACATGAAGATAAGTGTATTTTTTTCAGGAAAAGTGTGCATGTTCCTGAACTTGCACTTGGATTAAAAAGTACACTCTTAAAAGAGAATTGCATTTTTTTTAAGTATGCATTTTCACACTTTATGAGAGGAAAGAACATACTGAAATGCTCAAATTTCTCATTGAAATGAAAAGAAAAACAGATCTCAAAAGGAAACAGAGCAAAGTGAACTGAGCTTCAGGGTGGGATTCGGAGAATATTAGCTATCTAGAAAATTTCAGAAGACACTCTCTAATTGTCTAGGACCCCAAATTTGGATGCTTCTGGGCATCCTATGCAAAGCTGGAAGGGTAGATGGCTATTTTAAGCTGTCTAGCTGGGATGCGTCAGAGACAGGGAAGGAAGCTGGAACAGATCCAGCAAACTTTGTATCCAAACCACTCCCATTTGCCCCCTTTCCCACTTCCTTTTACCCCTTTCCAGGGTTGTTTTCCCAGCCTTGGAGAGCAGCCGATGAAGTTCATTTTGCACCAGATGCAAACAGGTGGGGAATTGTCCCTCCAGTGCCCAGTTCCAAGGTAGGGTCTCTTAGGTGAGAATCTGAACAATTCTGTGCCTCCCTAGGTAAAGACTAGAGTCCATAAAATCATTTTCAGATTCTTCTTTCTCTATTCCAGACACAACACTGTGGCCTTACCAAACCAGGAAATGCATACAGCACTTTTCTGCCAAGAGTGTATGCATCTCTTAGGAGAGTTGCAAAAGTTGTATTTTGACTGGAGTGATGTAGTGGAATGTTAGGAAGAACAAGTCTCACATGCTTGTCTCATTCAAAGCTGCTCGAAGTAGTGAGGGAAATGTACTTCGTGCACTCTCAGAGATTCTCTCTCCTTTATTATTGCTTTGTATTGCTTTGAGCCCTTTGTAGGAAAAAGGCAGGATATAAATTGAAAAATAAATAAATAAATAAATATTGCTCCAGGGCCAGCCCTTGGCATCAGAAGAGCCTCTGTGGCTTTGCCCTAGATTTAAGCTTTGAATGAATGCTGTAGTACAGAGAAATGGTGTACAGAATAGAAGCAGGACTACTTAAATAAATTTCCCTACAAAATGCTCAGGCAGAATGTTAAGGCAAGCTGCAAACCTGTCAGAAAGTCCTGAGCGACCATTATGGTGCAGGTGTTCCTAAAATTGATTTTGATATATTTGATGAGTATATCACCTAACTGAGTTTTGTTTCCCACCAGCAGTGATCACTTGACTGCATGAAGTTGCTTCTGATTTTGGGGGGGTGGGGTCCCCTTTCCAACTAACATTCCCCACTTTAAGTACTTTTGCCTTGCAGGAATAGAAGTATAAATAATTTTATGTTAACCTCCTACAACATGCATTATTTCTTTTTCAGGGTTGTTTCTTCTTTAAGTAATTTAAGGGAAATAACTATTAATAAATGCATTTGCCCTTATGTATCAGTCAAAAGGCTGGAGATGAATGTTATCTGATAACTACATATGCAAGTTACAATCAGGCAACTTGATAATGGGAATAGTCCATCCTCTTCTCAGATGAGGCACCTGTATAGGAGACTTTGCTATATGCTCAATGCAAACCGGAACATGTCCAATACGTATTTATGATATTACAAAAACATAAACATGTCCATGCTGAAAAACAGTTTTAAACTAAGATCATAAAATGAGATGGCCCTCTATTTCCAGAAAGTTTTAAGATTTGCCTAACAAAGATAGCATTCAGTCCTAAACGTGTGGGCCAACATGTTTGAACTCAGTGGCTTCCAACTAAATGTTTAAGCTGAAAATTTTAGCTGGCCTCATGCATGCCGTACATTCTCCACAACACACTGAAAGTTATAGGTCCAGTTCCATCAATGCAATTAAAAGTGAAGAAAGAGGAAGGTGTCACAAAGTGATGTTTCTTTAGCATCTTCCATTGGTTTCCACGGGTGCAGTTGTATGCATGTACAGACAGAAAAAAGCTAACTCACACAAGATCGCTTATTGGAGCACGGTGGGAGTTAGACACCCTTTTTTCTGGCTACACTTCATAGAATTGCACCTTAAGGCACCTATATAAACATTTTGGGGGTAGACTTTATTGAAGACAGCAGGGCCTACCTCTGTGTAAATGTGTAGGATTGCACTGTAAAAGAGTTTCAGTGCTTGTGATTTGTTTAATTTTTTAAAAAAGCAGAAGCCTGTTGAGTGACTGAAATGCTGCCACTGTGTAGTTTTAATAAATCAAAGCATGCCTTAAATATTAGCATGAACCATTTTGCCAAAGAACAAGGCAGGCATTTGTGCAGAATTCAGTGGATAGAGTGTTAACTGCACAACCACATGTATTTATAGCCATCGCTTTACCTTTTGAAGATACTGTGGTTTGAACTCAACCTTTGCATGTGACCTGCACCCAAACATCTGTTGCAGCACTTGAGAAGGGATTTCAGCTCCTCCTGTTGGCAGCTTTGCCTTTTCCTTCATGTAAATACAGTCTCAGAGAGGAAGTTGGGAGAACGTATTTTACTGCCATCTTGAATTTTGTACCATATTAACATAGATGTGGGTTTGGCCTGGGGACTTTCAGACACCTTCTGTAACCCTAACCCTTCCCAAGGTGTCAGATGGTGTTTGATACGGTGTGGGCTGCATTTTATAGCATGCCGGGCGTGAGAGATGTTATGTTGTAGCTAAGAACTGGCAACCAGCTACTGCTGTGAGCATGGCTGGTCTTTCTGTGGGATTCAGACAGCTCTTGTGGATAGCTGAATGGCATGTGACTTTGGTGTTGTTGTTTTTCCCTTTGCAGGCTCAGGTTACAGTGAACGGTAATTCTAGTGCTGCAGCCAGCCCAATGAGTCACTTTCAAAGGCCTTTCTCCCCTTCTTCAACCTACTCCCTGCCAGTCTCACTCAGTTCTAGCACCGTTCTCTTACAGCAGAGCAGGACAATGGGTGAGTTTCCCACATAACACCATAAATGAATTAACAAAGAGATCCTGTGGCCCCTAGATAGAGTCCAAGTTCTAATATTGAAGCATGCCTCCAACATCAGAGCTGGAAGACCATGCTCAACACAGTCTGCCCCCACCTACCCACCCGAAAGAACCACATCTGAGGTCACTTCCAATAAGGAATTTATTTATTTGTTTTAATTTTTTCAATATCAAGTTATATTATCAAAAAAATCTCGAGACAGTGTACAAAAGAATTAGAACCAGGCAGCAGCACTTGATTTTAAAATAAAATATATAAAATATATATTAAAGCTAACATTTTAAAAACTGGGTAAAAAACAGTTTTGGCCTGGTACCAAAATGAGTGAAGAGTTGGCACCAGGCGAACCTCTCTGGGGAGCATACTCCACAATCGGGGCATTCCTGCTGAGAAGGCCCTTCTAGTAAGAGCTCTCAGAGAGGGACCTTCACTGATGATCTTAAGGCCATTTAGATGGTGGTGAGGGGAGAGGAGGAGACTAATAATGTCAGAATAGGACACATCCTGGTGGCACCTCATCCTCATCCAAGCTCTGTGGTTAGATGGTGGAAATCAGCCTTTTAGTTGCTTTGCAGAGTGGGAGAACCACAGTGGCCACTTCACATCTGGTCTTCTCCTGCTTTGCGTGGGATACCCATGCACCTCCAGTGGAGACTATAGACATCCCCATAGGATTGCACCTTAAAGCTTGTACATATTGCTCATTGATTAACTGAGGTGTCCTAAGATGACCGGTAACTATTACAGCTTAATTTGCAGACCATGAATTTGGCAACTGTTTCTTTGACTCCCACCAGAAATTCACTGCTTACCATAGGCAAAGGTGTCCCTTGTTTTGCCTGTTTGTGTGTGTTTGTGTGTGTTGGGGGTGGGGGAGTGTTAAATTACAAGGAAGACTCTTGGGGCACCTTAAAGACTAATGAATTTATCTGGTATAAGCTTTTGTGAACACTTTGAAAGATGCCACAGTGTCTGCAAAAACTCATACTAATCCCAGAATAAATTTGTTCATCTTTGAAGTGCCTCAAGACTATTGTTTTTGCTGCAACAAACTAATGTAACCAATTTCCAGGAAATTGGTTTGTTTACTTGCTTTCAAATGAACCTTTAATTTGTCACTTTTGCTGGCAGTATTAGTGACAGAAAAAAAGCTGTACTCTCTACCCAACCAGTTTTCTTTAACTTTAAATGAACTGGAAGCAGCTTCTTTCTGGGGCCTTTCAGTGAAGACAACAAGGCAGCTGCTGCCTTCTTTTTTTCACCAAAATGCTCTACAATGACATTAAGTGGCTGGGCCATTGAGAGCACAGTTGTGTGGCCGATGCCACTGCCTTACATGGAGGCAAAATAAAGTTTGGTTCAGTTTGGTTTTGAATGAAGCCTCCATCCCTAGTCCTATAGGGATGCCCATAATGTGCCCAACTTGGAGGATTATGGATATACTATGCAGGGTGGGATGGGGGTGCATTGAGGTGGCTGTCAGCTCTGTGCTCCTCCCTTCCTGCAAAAACAGCCAGACAGATGATATTGACCTTCTGGCTGTGGGGCTTCAGATGGGAGGGATGGAGCCTGGAGCACCATGAGAATGCATCAAATCCTGGTGGATGTCCAGTCTCTTTATTTCCTTGTCCTCAGAATGCTGCCTGTGCCCTTTGTGTGAGGTTACTTTTACCATCTCAAAGAAATGGGCAATGTGGCTCGTTTCGTGCCAGCAGGGTGAGGGGGGGAACAGAGCTCTTTTCCAGCCTCAGAGCTGGGAATGCAAATGATCCTTTGGCCCTCTAGAAGCTGTGTAGGAGGCCATAGGGTTGCCACGCCTTAGATTCTAAACATTATATTGACCTTCCAAATCTTCAAAAGAAGGAAAAGACCTGCACATGGGAATGGAAACTTCCCTCTCTGGGAGGTTATTTCTGTCAGGACCACAGTGGAGGAGGAAAAAGAAAATTAAATCCTCACTGGGGTCCCATTGCTGTTCAACCTCCAGCAGCTGCCATGTACATGCTTTAAAAAACTGCACAGTAAGTTAGCTCATGCTATTGACGTCATACCTGGTTTGTCCCTAAAAATCCAAATGATGCCGGCAGATGGTTTTTGCCATTCTTGGACTGTAGGATCACAGTCTGCTTTTTTTCTTTCCTAAATTTAGTATTATGCATATTTGGAGAGTGGCCCAGATATTTAGCTATTTCGTACACTAACCCCCCTTACCATATATGTTTCTGGCTAAATTATTTATAGACTTGCAAATTTAAACAAACAAGAAAGTGCCAGATATTTGCAATCTTATTTGTTTAGTTATATCTGCCAAAAATTTCCATTAGATATTAAGTATCATAGACTTCATCAGTTATGTGTATTTTGTAGAAAATTGTGTCTTTTAAAACTTCAAAGCCCTGGTTCAGTGTCTCAATCTAATTTGACACATAAAATGTATGTGATATGTATTAGCAGAGGTTAGAAAACAGCATTTGAAATTTCTGTCTGAACTGCTACTGGATATTGCTAGATCTTTGGGGCACAGGCGAGGGACACCCATAGAAATCAAGAAAACTACAGCTAATCAGAGCAGACCAATGTGGGCTAGATAGTGTAACTGGGTAGTGTAATATAGTTTCCCCTAAGCAGAATTATGGGGGTTACAGTCCAGCTCATCTTGGCTCCGGGGTAGGGAATGCTTCTTATGATGGTGGTAACATCCATCCCCCTTGGGGCCATCAATTATGTGTGAGTGATTGTCCATGGCTACAGCTAGACTACTGCTTTGGCTTGGATCCAGGCTTATGGTGCATAGCTGATTGGGGCAAGCTGGGAGTGTAAACTTTTCTTCCTGTCCAAACATGCATGGGGTTGCATCCTAATTATTTTTCCCCCAAGGCGAATAGGAAGATAGGCAGCTGCCTATGTCAAGTCAGGCAGCTTGATCATTTTAGCCCAATATTGCCCATTCTGGATGGCAGCTCCAGAGTCTCAGGTCTTGCTTATGGGCCGCTACCTGATCTTTTCAAGCAGGGATGCTCTGGATCTTCTGCAAAGTCTGTGTTCTGTTGCAGAGCTCTAGTCCCACTGAGCACCCAGTCCCCTCCTCAAGGCAGCTCAGATGTAGTTTTCCAAGGCATTTTGTAAGCATGGATCAGTTTTGCATGTAACTGATTCTGAGACTTCTGAAAGTGCCCAGACAAACATGCAGGCCAAGCGTGGAGATAACCTTGTTACACAGCATTGTGTTAACATTATCTTTGTAGAATCTGCAGAGACATATTCGCAGCATGCTCATTCTGTGGGCGTTGGCAGCAGCAGCACCAGCACAATACCCATCTGCAGAACTTCCGAGGAAGAGAAGAAAGTCACAGTCATTAAAGCGCCACATTATGCAGGCATCGGCCCAGTAGATGAATCAGGAATCCCAACTGCAATTAGAACGGTAGGAAATTCTGAATGTGTGTGCGTGTGTGCATGCACACTTTGGACAATGAATTGATTGTTGGGAATGGCTTTTTTTCCACATTCTTCTAGGCTTATATAATGTGGAATAGAATGTGCATAATCAAGGGACTTGTGAGCATAATGCTGTGAGTGGTGGGGAAAAGGGGAGACTGATGGTGTATAATTGGACAGCCTTGTCTCCCTGCCCCCCCCCCAATTTAAAATATTTAGTGCCATTTTCTTTGTTCTTTCCTTCCTTCACTCCACCTTTCCACAGCTTGTTTCGCTTCCCCCTTTCAAAGTTTGCTGATAGTTTGGTGCATACTTCCAACTTTCATCAAGATGCCCTTGCATGGCTTGCCTTCCTCGTATTCATGGCTTAGCAGAAATAAGATGAATTTACACAGGCAGACAGTGCACACCCCAGTCGGTTGTATATTTGACTGGGAGCTGAGGGAAGCACAGGGCAAAACTAGGCTCTCCTTTGCTGACATGGAAATAAGCACTGAAGAGTGGGAACTCTTTCAGGCTGGTCTTGACAGCTTGCCACTAGTTAGTGCTTGAGTGCTTTCAGGATGCCATACTGAAGTGTTTTGTTTTTAGCTATGCTGGAGCATTCTTTCCACGCTGCTGCCCCGGCAGCTCCTTCTGGCTGGTCCAGGCAGCAGCAGTAGCAGCCGCAGCTGGTATAGGGAGGGAAAGAACAGTTTGCCAGCCTTCTCAGCGGAGGAGCGCCGCAAAAGACTGGGAGCCAGCATGAAAGCAGCAGAATCTTTGCAGGTGAAGTCTAGGGGAGGTGCAAGGCTGCAGCAGCTGTGAGTACGGCTTGCTGCCTGCCAACACCAACCTGCGGGTTGCCGGGAACAGCTTCCATGGGGAACAAAATGTGGGGGGGGGGGTGGACTTGATGGAGGAAACCAGTAGGGAAGATTTCTTACTAAGTATAGCACTTTGAAAAAGACTAAGAATGGAGGTGGGGAGTGCCATGGATTCTTGTTTCCCTTTATTATGATTTTGAACTAGATGAATTGTGTCAACTTTATTTTGCAATGACTAACTCTCCTTGTAACTCTCATCCCATTTAAAACAGACCCCTGACTTTTATCGAGGAAATTACTTGTGTGACTTTTAGAAGAATCATATAAATCACATAGGATGGATATTAGTTATGTAAGAGAATAAATGAAAATCCGCCCCACTGTACTTAATGAGCTTGGCACATGGCCAGCTATATATTTAAACCCCCAGATTAGATTGTCTCTAAGATTTGTTGCAAATTTCCTCCTGTTTCAGATAGATGTTTCTATATAAAAATCCTCTCCAGTTTATACTGCTTCCATTGCACAAATGTTCCTTACAAACTTATACGAGCTGAGACATTCATCGTGCATTCCTATGCATGTTTAATCAGATGAAAGCCCTACTGAATTCAACTGGGCTTAATCATAAGCATATCTAGGATCACAGCCATAGCTGATATTTAGCAAGCTCAAAAGTGCAATCTGCTGCATGTCTACTCAGAGGTAAGCCCCATTGTTTTCAATGGAGTTTCCTTCCAGGAAATTGTATATAGGATTACAACCTAAGGCATACATATGTGATGCTACAGAGGCATGGGATGAGTAAAGTAGGCATGCTTTATTCTTTGAAGCACAGAACTGTATATAAAGTGTTTTTTTTTTTAAATATTTAGCATGTGCAAATGTATTGTAAGATGCATGCAAATATATTCTGCAGTCATTTGGGGATGCAATTGCAGCAGTACCATTCACAGCTTGACCATATGTAAGTTTATTTGTCAGTAATCATGTGGAGTACAATGGGGCTTCCTGTTTTTATAGTTACAGAGTTTAGGGTGGAGTAATATATATGTCGTTAAGGGCTTCTTCTCAGGAGGTATGGTGACTGACATTTCATAAATTCTTAAGTAAGCAGTCATAAGATTGTGGCTGTGGCCCTGACTGAGCACACAGTATTTTGCGATTGTAGACATTTACTTGAGAGTAAGTCCTCCTGAACTTGGGAGGTATTTCTCAGTATATAGGTGAATAGATTTGCAATTCTTGACTGACTTCCAATGGAGTTAGTTCTTCATGGGTAACTTAAGAGCCATTGATAGCAATGGGGACCCTTCCTCCTCCCATTCTTAACCCTGTTTTGCGAGGAGGGATTTAGAAAAGCAAGGTGCGGTGGAAAGGTTTACTCCTCCCTCCAGCATGTGGTGGCCCTTTTCTGAATTGGGACCATGTGCACATACTCTTAAATAAAAAAGAACAATAAGGTTTAGCTGCATGCTACATAATTAACTTAACATGTAGCTTGTCCCTAAGCCTCACTGCTTGCAGAGATTCACTTTATTCTTTGTCTACATTTTATTACTTTAAGGGCAATCAAAGCCTTTAAAATTTAGAATGCCTTTAAAATTAAACAGTCTGATCAGAATAACTCTTTCATTCAAATGCAGATATGCCAAATTAGGCTGCTGCCCCATTGGGGGATGGAGGTTACACACACACACACACACACACTTTGCCCAGTTGCACCTTCCTTCTGAAATTGATGTCCTTGTTAACATTCCTACAGTACATCTGTATAGTTGTGGTTTTTGAAAAGTAGGATCAAAGGCAGACCTCAACTCACAGCCAGAATCAATTTTCGCATTGCTGGAATGGATGCTGTTTCTTCCTTCTTTATCAGCAGTTTTCCCCCATCCAGCCCATGACTGAATCCAATCAAGGGAACAAGACACTAACCTATTCCACAGGTCAATGAAAAAGAAAAAAAACATAGCCAGTGGGTTTTGGCATATTGATGATACTGCTCTCCAAATTGGCTAGTGCGCCTCTGAGAAGCTGCATGTATGTAACTTAACAATTTGAAGATCAAGCCCATTTGTCACTTGAAATAATTATGCCAGTTGCAATCCATTAACTGCTTTCAAGTTGTGCACAAATATTCTGTTTTTGAAATAGCAGGAGCATGAAACCGCACCTCTGTCAAGATGAACGCAAAGAACCTCCTAAGTCTTTCTGTCTGTGTACTTGAAGCACAGCTGGGGATTCCTTGTTAAAATACAATTCTCTCCCAGGCTTATACTCCCTTCCCTTAAGACTGGTAGTTGCTTGTAAGGTTGTTGAGTATCTGTTGAAAAGAGTCTATGATATCACTGATGGAAAGGAGTGCTGTGTCCCCTCCTTTGCCACTTTTTGAAATTTTGCATTGGTGGTTTGGTGGTTGCATTTGTCCCAGCTGAACATTTTTTGGTTGCAGAGCATAGGAACTGTTGTTGTTTTGTATAGCCATACAGCAAGAGTACTCTTCCATTGTGTTTCACGGCTAGTTAGTGAAGCCAAGCATGGCCACCCCCAGAGCTTTCTGCATGGCTTGCTCCTTTCACTCACTGCGGTGGCCTGTTATCCTGCTGTCTCCAAGCAAGTTGTGAGGAGAAGGAAAACAAGGAGTATCAGTCTTTGCTCTTTCTTCCCTCTCCCTCAGGTGTTGGTGCAGGTTTGACCTTGAGAGCTTGGGACGGAGGGGAAGCTATTGGGTGGATTGCTGCAAGCAGAGGTAGTCCTGGAGTCCCAGCCATGACTTTCCCATGGAAGCCATTTTGGAAGCCAGAACACTCTCGATTCCAAATGTGCCCAGTTGCCCAAAGAGGTTGGGAGCCCCTGAGGTTGGGTGATTTAGGGGAGATGAGGGGAACTAAGGACAGCTTGTCTGAGGCTCTCTTCATAAGCTGAAGAGGCTGCTGCCTCAAGAACTGCTTCCATGTGGACAAGCAGATGCACATCAGAGGCAGGTGTGTTTATATTCTGGTAAATGAAATGAGAGCCAGTGTGGTGTAGTGGTTAAGAGCATGGGACTGGGACTCAGACGATCTGGGTTCTAGTCCCCACTCAGCCATGGAGCCAGCTGGGTGACTTTGGGCCTGTCACAGACTCTCAGCCCAACCTACCTCACAACAACACCTTGTTGTTGAGGGGATAAGATGGAGGAGGAGAATGATATAAGCTGCCTTGAGCCCTTTGTGGGAAAAAGGCAGAATATAAATTGGAAAAAAAAATATGGATTGCATCAGAAGCCAGCTTTACCAAAAGCAGAGTGTGGAGGAAGCACAGAGGCTGTTCAGATATTGAAGTTATCCCTGGGGTTCATTCTATCTATTTGGCAGTTAGTCTTAATATTGTGAGCTCACTGCAGTAACAAAATATGAAATTAAAAGTGTTGACTCCTTCATAAAGTAAAGGTCAACTGCAGCAAAGGGAACTTTCAGAAGTATACCAAATATGCTTATTATATACTGTGTCATCTACTCAAAGAGCCTGGAAGGAAGCATTTTTGCAGGATGTAATAAGTCAGCCTGTGTAGGAACTTCATTCATTTTGCAAGGGCTTATATCAATTAAGCTCCTGGTCAGCCTCTGGGAGGAATGGAAACCAAATGTTCAAATGTGAATAATTTCCATAATTTCTTCTTTCCACAAAGCCCTATAAAAGGCTGTTCAGACAGTCTTCCTATAGTATGTTACAGCATCCTCTCCTTTACTCTGCAACCCTATTGATTGTGCCCTTGATAATCCTGCCTTACAGGTTTTGCTAGATAGATTTCACCATCTAGCAAGGACACTTCAGAGGATGCTCATGAGAGCAGTTCTTAGCACCTGCGAGGGAAGAAGCCTGGCACACCAAATGTTGCAACCCTTCTCCCTTCCCTGTCACAACATGCCCTTTTTCCCCTCTGACACCCAGTTGTGACCCGGGTGGAGGCAGCTGCTGTTGTTCACACTGGCTATGAGGGGGCAAGGCAGGCACTCCACCTTTGGAGCCCCAGCTCCAAGATGGTAGGATCTCAGATCTGGGACTTAAAAGGAACCCTATGACCCTCATAGGAACCCTCTCTCGTAGTTTAAAAGCTTTTCTACCCCGTCCACTACTAGTGTCTCAGGACAGCTTACAATAAAAGTGTTCATATCAGTATTGGATATGGGAATATGTAATGAAACCATAATTTCTGTGGTTTCTGAGACTGAAGACACTGATTGTGTACATACAGTTCAAATAAATCTGAAGCATGCTCATTTATAGTCAGGTAACAGATTTCAGAGTTCTTTATGCATAGACTGCAAGAAGTAAACAATTCGCTCCAACTTAATAAAGTCTTGGAACCAGAGCAAATGCAAACACAGAATTTATTTCTGAGGAAATCTTTGTAAATAATGAATGTGAAACACAATAGTTGCATGTAAAAATTAATGGTTGCTATTTGAATAGAAGTTCTGATGTTTTTATCATGAAGAAAGATTAAGAAATGATTACAAAAAAGGAACAGGCACACAAATTCATTACAATTCTGCATGCAACACAATCCAAGATAGTCTTAATCATGTCCCACCAGAGGTTTGTCTTGTTATCCTCAAACCCTGTAACTAAGGGACCTGATTCAGACATAACAGTTTTCCTATGTGAACAGTTTACCAGGTCAGAAAGTGTGAAAAACTACTTAAATTGTCACATTTATTCCTCAGGTATACACATAATTATTTTGATTCTTCTATACTAGGAAAAGTTGTATGTATAGCCTGATAAGTAACACCACTCCCCTGCGACAAGCAATAATTGATGCTTGGATGGGGAAGTACAAAACATGATGACAGACTGTCCTTGTTAACATAAAGGAAACTGGATGTGGCGTTGCTTCTTTCAGGGTAAGCCCAGAACTCAGTGCAGTGTCTAATTCTACCTTCAGTTTTAAGCATTACCTGCATTCCTATTAGTTCCACAGAAGAACTTGTACTTAAGCCAGTCTTCCCCTGCATAGTTTTCAGTGGAACAAAATCAGCTTTTATCCATGTACAGTTAGTTGCTTGCACGACATTCTACTGGATTCCCAGCACTGGGTAATCAGCATTTTAAAAACCCCTACCTTGTATCCAATTATAACTGAATGATGCAGTTCTTCTCAATAGTAAACAGTCAGATGGGCTGTGCCCTCAAAGAGAAGCAAAGTTGCTTGCTGCCAATGAATTTCACTTTCACTCCTAAGACTTATCAAGAAAAGAATCAACCCACATTCCTGTGTCACTGGGGAGGGGGGTGTTTTACTTTTAACCACACAATCTAATATAATTGTTTCATGGTCCACCTTCTGATTATTTGAACAACAAAGAGGCCTTTCATTTATGTGTGAATAACTAAATCTGGTCCATCCAGATTTGTTTGACTTAAGCGGTGTTGGAATACTGTAGCTAGCTTTTCTGTTTTTGAAAAACCGGGTTTTGCCCGTGAAAATTAGAAGCCTGCTTTCACAAAGCTTTGCTTGATTCTGGTTTCGTACAAAGTCTAAGTAGAACATAGGGCAAAGAAGAGAACCTCTATTCAGAATAGTAAATGCCTCTGTTAATTGTATGTTTCCTGATTTATCCTCACTCAATTAGATATATTTCTTGAGCTTCTTAAACAATATTTGCATATTTTACTTTTGGATTGTTATTGCTATCTGATTGTGCAATGCTGGTGTTTAATCTTTTACAACAAAGGAATTTGACCAGCAGTTGAATGGAATGTACTGGAATTGGGCACGATGGTGGATAACATTAACTCCTAATGCAATTACTGGTCTTCGGACGATTGAATCTAATGAAGTGCATTTTTATCTTCCCTGTTTTCATTTAGCCCAGACATAAGATCCTCCTGTAAGACTTTCCTTCCATGTGCTTGCTCTGTGCATGGATGAGGAAGTAGGATGGTGGCTGTTGGCTCTGTCCCACAGTTTTGCCATACCCCAGTGCCTTATTCCTGTCCTTGTCTTCTGCATGTTTTGCAGGATGATCAGAAAGAAACCTTCATGTGTTTAGAATCTCCATACTATTAGAAAGACCAGGAACACAATGTTTATGAACATTTGGCACCCCTTTAAATGTGTGCCACTGAAGGTGCACAGTAGGACCAGATTGCACAGGAGAGTAAATATACGGAGGAGCACCTGAAGAGATCCACTTCAGTGTCATCTCATTTAGCTCTTGTTGAGATGAAGAGAAGGGTCTAATTCTTCAAAATTCTGTGTCAGGTTTGGTGATCACCATCAAGCACATCCTGAATGTTTCAGTGTTCCAGTCAATCACTCAAATTTCAAGAGATTTCCAGTTGTTTGATTAGAATGTGCAGAAGTCCCATATGCCCATGCCCATTTTGGCTTCCTTGTATTTGAGGAGAGTTTGGAAACCTACATTGGTCCACGATGAAGCTGCCCAGAAATTGGTCGGGGGAGGGGGGGAGCTGGGAAAGAGCAAGACAGCACTCCATCTCTCATTTTGTGGCCCATTTTTCCACCAAATTATTTATTTGAAAGAAGTCTGAAGTTTATCCATATAGACTTACAACCCTATGATGTACTTACAGATCCATTATACCCAAATATCCTTAATGTATCAAACTCTGCAAAAAATGATACATATGCAGAACTGAACCATTTATCACCCACTAAACCATGGGTCCTCAAACTATGGCCCATGGGCTGGATCCAACCCGCCATGCCCATTTATCTGGCCCGCCATAGCTCACCACACATGCATGCGCGTGCCTGCGTGGCGAGGCGCCAGCTTGCTCGCAAGATTGTTTTGGACGATCTCCTTGACCTCAAGCCACTCGCTCGCAAGGAGAGCCTTTTCTCTGCGCACACACACCCCCACCTTGCCGTGTGCACACCCGCACGCGCCCCCCTCCCCCCGGCCCATGCCCCCCGCCAGCACCACCCTGGCAGCCCACACACATTGCCGGCACCTTTCAACTGGCCCCCTATTCAAAAAGTTTGAGGACCCCTGCACTAAACCAAACGCAAGCCAGCAGCTTTCTAAAGGGACTGGTTGACAGGCTAAGTAAGCAACCTAGTTACCTCCATTACAGATTCATTCAGCTCATTATGTGACCCATTTAATTTTTATCCCTGTTTCCCTCCTAATTGTTTAAAACTTTGTCATTTTTAGACAGTGGACAGGCCAAAGGATTGGTATAAGACGATGTTCAAGCAAATCCACATGGTTCATAAGCCTGGTATGTATGTCTTTCATTTTATGATATATTTTTGTATACCTCGTGGCCTTAGTCACAAGATTTTATGTATCAATATAGGTATGGGGGTGGGGTAGTAATTTGATTATATAGTACCTAAGTCCAGTAGACGGTTATTGAAGTCGATAAATATATTAAATACAGATGATGCATTTTTCTATGGGAAAAATCAGCAATGTCTCTAACAGGGCTTTCAAAAGACAGAGAAAAGTAAAATGGTTTACTACTTGGTTCACACATAACACCAACTCATGGTTTATTTAACTCATGGTTTGTTTCTGTACCCAGGGTTTGTCTAGCAAATGATTCAATAACCCATGGCTTATTTCCTCAACCCCTGAGCAATTTCTTTCTCTCTTCCTCCACCCTCTTCTTCCCAGTATACCAAATTCCTTTGCAGTGCTGTCATACTGACATGTCATCTGTGTGTGTGTGTGTGTGTGTGTGTGTGTGTTGTGGGGAGAGGTCAACCACTCTTCTCAGCCTTTTTGTAGCCCTGGTGAAACAACCCCTGAACAGTCTACAATTCTGATTTCACACATAATGGCAACCCATGGTTTAAAAAATGCACTTACAAATGAACAGCTAACCATAGGTTCTCTTACTGAGTTATTTATGGTTAATGGCTGAGTTCACACACCACAACAGCCTATAATTCAACAACAAGTTAAATAAATCATGCACTGCTCTCCTCCACCCTTTTTTCATTGGTTAAACAGAGGATGGGCATTGCGCCAGAGAAGAGCTGGTCCCGAAAAGGAGACTGTGACACAGGAGAGCCCTGGAACACCCCACCAATCTCCATAATGCTTGGTTCTGGGGAAAGATCCCTTCAGGGCCAGGCATTTGGGTATGGCCAGCTTTCTGAAGAGCCAATCTAGCTAATTTCTCCTGTTGCTGCAACTCTCAGAAGACTGGAGGGGTGGGGTGGAGGGTCTTAGGGTGTGAACAAGGATGGGCTTTGGGCTTTCTGAAAGCCTGGTTTAGCATTATGTGTGAATCAGGTCAATAAGTGCATGCAGGACACTAACACAAGATTTTGTGTGCAACCCATGGAACTAGCAATTAGCATGGGATTCCTTTTCACTGCCAATATGCCTATACCAATGCAAAATCTACCAAGATCTATTTGAGAACTCCAACTATGGAAAATAAATAATGATCCTGGCTTAGGAAAGTAGTTGATACATGTTCTGCATATCTACAACTGCTCCATAAAATGACCTTATTTGTATTACAGGTAGTAAAAATGAACCTTAGTATAGAGTGGAGACAGTGTGAGTAGACCTTAGACACCCAGTCAGCTTCCAAGTTGAATAAAGTCTGGAGTTGATTTAAAGATTTGGACATTTAATTGGCTAATTGATTAATTAAACCACATCAAAATGTGCTTGAATAAACCTATTTCTGATGCAGCAGGTACATTTTTCTTGTTTGTAGATTAGGCACACTCACACTTTGCAGAGACACCATCTTAGAAGAAGCATTCCTTGTGTGTGACAGAGAAAAGGAGCACATCCTAAGGTGGTGCCTGCCATGTATAGTTGTCTGTAAATTCATGTATTAAAATAATATGGGGGGCGGGGGGGAATCTGCTGCTTAGTTAACCAGTAGTTCTTTTAAGTTGATTGAAGTATTGACTTGACAACTGGCTCTGTTTCTGTACCATGATAGCATCAGCAAAAAGGAACGTGTAACCTTCATCGTTTGCATCTTTAAAAAATAAGAGACATGGGGACATTTTTCAAAATTACACTAGTATCTTATTAATTTTATTAGGGAAAATCTGAGTGGGAGGATGCATGGTTTGCCTTTTCAAAGCCGTGTCTTCGTTATTAGTTATGGGATTTCAGGTAGCAGAGCTACTGAAAGTCTCCAAACCTCTGCAGAATAGAAGACTGGCTGTTTGAGCAGGCAGTACCGCTGGAATGGATGGCCAAAGGAAAATATTTTTAAACATGTTTTAGTTTTGATGGACAAAGTATAGTGCATGTACTGAAATCCATGTGATTGAAAACTGCAAAAGTTAGAAATGCTACACTTTGGCCAAACCATGCCTACTGTTGATACAGATGCCATTCTGTCCTTATATCTAACAGCCGATTAATAGTGGCCTGCAGTATGATATTAGATCTTAAAGAAAAACCAAACCCAACTAAATAGCTCTACCCAGACACTGCTTACTGTGTGTGTTGCTGTGGGAAAACCCACAGGGGAATGTCAAGTGGCCAATGGAAACTTCCAAAGGGGAGAAAGTTAGTGATATAACACACACACACCCGTGATATGGCTAGTATATGCTGCCTAGGATGGGATGACTCAAAAATAAGCTTGCATTCTGTGGGACAGGTTCTGAAGTGAAACGTTTCCTTGTGGGGAGACAGTGGGATGCCTACTAAAGTTTGTTTGCATTTGCAAAAGGAAATTGTCTTGCTGTGATAAACTGACAGGTATTCCACTCCTGTAACATTTCTCTTTCTTTTTGCAGATGATGACATAGACATGTATAATACTTCATATGCCTATAATACTGGTAGGAATTATTCCTTTTCTTGTTAGCATCAGCAAGTAATAATGGTACCCCAACCTGTTGGCCTGACCTTATTGTACCTGAGTTGTTGTTTTTGTTCTATCTCTGGATGTGGTTATTGTTTCATTATTTGCTTGGCATCAAAATGATTCACTTTGTTATTTGTTTGGGATTTTTTTAAAAATCCAGACTATATGGGGAATGTCATCTTTGGTTTTTTCCTTCCTCGGGCAGCTCCTGACCCAGGGCAGGAGGTGCTTTGATTCTAAGTTAAGGGTAACATCACCTTCTGTGGCACATAATGAAAGTATAATCTGCAGTACATGCTGGGGATAATAAAGGTAGCAACTGAGTAAATACTGCATTGTATTAGATATAGATAAATCATGGGCACATCCAGGCAATATCATGCATTTTTACATCCAGTGAGAGAGAGAGTTAACATTAAAATTGTGGCTCAGTTGTGCTTAATTTTCACTGGTCTGTGCAAATTGCTGTTAGGCAAAACATGAATCCAGAATGCAAGCATGAATATATCAGAAGCACCATACATGCCTATTAAATTTGTCAGCACATTGCTTTTGCAATTAAACAGAAGTTTAATTGGACTTCAATTGACAGCACAGCAATAGAAGATTGCAAATGACTTTCTAAATGTACACCAAGCCAAGGAGGTTGAAAGTAATATTAAATATACTTGTCAGCAATGAAAACTTTTAAAAAGGTGTTATCTGTATATGCAAAACTTTAAACGCAAACAAATTCCACTGCTTGCTTTGCACTACAGATAATGGAGTTGCCCTGAAATTTTCCAGATACCATGCTTACGGATGGACTTCACTTCGTTTGATGGGCCACACGGGGTGTGATCACAGGGTGCTCCCGATTCACCAAGGGAGATCTGAATGTGGAAACAGATTTTGCACACAAGGCTCAGCCTCCTTGACCTGTTGCACTAGAGTGATGCCAGGGCTCAAAACCCCGTCCCCACTGAGAGGGCTGCTTGTGGATCACCAAAATAAGGAGGGGCAATATGCATCACTGAAAGTCAGGATGAAAAAGGATATTTTTCTGCATAACCTGTGCATATGCTGATGTGTGTGTATGGATGCAAGTTTAGAAGCGGGTCTTATAGTTTGAAAGGAAGTATTGTATATCACACCAAAATGGGGAAGACTAGCTGCATGATTGATAGGCCTTGCTCAGCCTGCCGTTCCTTCTCATGGCACTTTGTTTAAGCCAGGCTTGGCCTTCAGACAGAGGATGCCTTCAGAGTAAACAGTCCCCTGCAAACAGAGGGCTCTCTATAAAAAGAGAGACAGGGGGATGGATGGACACATGGCTACCCGGAATTCCAGCATGCACACCTATTGCTGCAAACTGCCCAGAGAGCTTCAGCGAGCAGGCTGTAGAGACATGACAGAAGTAAATGTCAGAGTCCCTGTCCTTCACGATTCATGCTGCCCAGTGAATGATTGGCATCGCCAGCTCTGACTCCACTCAGGGCTGCTGCAAGCTTTTCTGCCACCCAAGGCATGAGACCATACAGGTGCCTTCACCAGCACCGCCTCCTGCTCCATCTCCCAGCCCTCTGCCCCACCTCCCCCCATGCATCTCCCTCCCACCTGCATGCACGCCTCCATGTCCTCCCTTATCTTCCCATTCTTGCTGCTCTCTGAAGAGGCACATCAGTAATCAAAAAGAGACGGCATGGCTCTTCACAGGGCTGGGGAGGCCAAAGGTTCTTCTAACTGTGGGCATGGGCATTGCCTGTTGCACTGTGGCACAGGGGAACAGATGTTGGGTGGCTGCTCCAGAGAGCCCTGTTGGCCACTTTTGTGCTGTGGCATGAGAGGGTCACCAGTTCCCTTCTCCCACTACAGGAAGCACCATGGCAGGTGCCCTCTGCACAGCACCTGCTGGAGGACCTGTAGGCCCTTCCGGTGGGAGCAGAATGTGAGGGGAACTCAGTTCAATATTCCTCCTGTTCTGCTGCCTGAAATGAGGGTCTCACCCTGCTTCATGGGAGAGCCAGCCCTGATCACACTGATAACTGCTAGGAAGAGGCTCATCCTCTGCACCAAATGAATGGTCACCATTGTTCAAGGAAGAAGCAAGGAGATACAGCAGAGGTCACAACAGTCCTACTAGTGTAGGAGATGAGCTCTGAGTCAAGTCCCATAAGTTGTAAGTATGCTTTGCTGAAATCAGTGGAGCATATTTCAAGTAAATGAGTTTAGGGACTGGGTTGTCAGTCTCATAGCATGTTCTTCTTTCTCGGCCATATGCCCACAAGTAATCCCTAAGTACTTGGATTGGATCCAAAGTGGTGATGTGAGTGGAAAGTCCTTTAATTTATACATGGGAGGTAGAGGCAGGTTTCGGAAATTCCTTTTTCATTCTGCTGCTAGTGCCATGTTGAATTGTTATAGATCAGAAGTTGATTATGAGTCAACAGCATGATGGAGCTGCAGAAAAGGCAAATGCTACTTATTGGCTGAATAATGGAAGTGTCACTTCCAGACCATGTAAAGTATTAATTCCCCTCTACTTAGCACTGGTTAAGCCTCATCTGGAGTACTGCATCCAGTTCTGGGGCACCGCACCTCGCAAGATACAGACAAACTGGAAAAGGTTCATAGGAGGGCAACAGAAATGATCAGGGGACTGGAAATAAGCCCGATGTGGAGAGATTGAAAGAACTGGGCATGTTTTGCCTGGAGAAGAGAAGACTTGGATTGCACTTCTCAAATACTTGAAAGGCTGTCACACAGAGGAGGGTCAAGTTCTCTTCTCACTCATCCCAGAGGGCAGGATCTAAAACAATGAGCTTAATTTACAGGAAGCCAGATTCCAGTTGAACATCAGGAAGAACTTCCTGACTGTTAGAGAAGTATGGCAGTGGGGCCAGTGACCTAGGGAGCTTGCGGGCTCTCTCTTACTGGAGGCGTTCAAGAGGCAGTTGGACAGCCCTCTATCTAGGTTGCTTTAACTGGAGTCCTGTATTGAGCAGGGGGTTGGACTCAATGACCTTGTATGCCCCTTCCAACTCTACTGTTCTGTGATTTTATTCTGTGCAGAAAGGATCTTCCAACCCCAAAAAGCAGGTTTGCGGGGGGAGGGGCTGGAAAATTCAGTGAAAGGCGGGAGAGTCCAATTGAGCTAACAGAGCTTCATTCCATTCATGGAGCAGAAGGTAGGATCCTAGTCAAGCAGAAGTACCTTCAATTCAAACTGCAAATTTGCTTTACCCTTTCTTTGAATGGACAATAACTATTTTACATCTGTTAATATTAATAGTTGTATTTTGGAATCTTTGCCTGGGGGAGTTGTCTTTAATTAGTTTACATCAGACCGTCTTTTTCTTTTCAAGCATACCCTGCTGCAAAGACACAGACATACAGACCACTGACAAAAAGTACATCTGACAATGGCATGGAGGCCTTCAAGATCTCATCCCCTGTACCTCCCCCACCTCCAGTACCACCAGTTCGTCCACGGCAGAGATCTACTCAAGAAAAGTAAGCCCTGCAGTTGTTTTTAGCAGTAAATCTATGACAAGCAACTTCTGAGCTACTGAGAGAGAGAGTCTTTCAGAGTTTTGGTGTGAATGAAAAAAATACTATAAAGCCGTTTTGTATTGCCAATGGATTTTCACACAGTGCACCTTGCTTCAATGTAAATGCCTTTGCAAACGGAAGGTGCAAACCCAGACAGGTATTAACAGGAAAAAGCCCAAAAACTGCCACATTCCCTGGCCGGCCATGCTGGCAGCTCCTTGTCTCCTTCCACCTCACGTGGGTTCCAAAGGCCATCTTCAAAGCTGGCACAGTGGGAGTGTCCTAGGGACAAGACGAGGAGGAGGGCCAGCACTGCCGTCCTCTTGAAGAATACTGGTCTTGTCTCAGCCTCTCCGTCTCATGACGGGGGAGAAAAATATGCAGCTGGAGCCCTCTGCCATCTAAACGCTTTGAAGGGTGACTGGAATCCACCTTTGATTGGATTGATTTGATTCCTCTGAATCTGGAGGATAACAGGCAGCACATTGGATGGCACCCTAAGAGCACCCTTCTTGCCTCTTGACTTGCAAGTAGGTTGTCACTCTGTCCTTATGAAAGATGACTTTCTCTGTATTTATACAAGAGATCCAAACTGAGATGTATTTGATCCCAAGTCAGCAGTATCTCTACTTGTAATGACAACTGTATTCCAGTTCTGTGAATGGAATAAGGAGAAAGCAAGTTTGATAATTTCTTACTTTTAGAAATGAGTGGGACCCTCCTGATAGAAAAGTGGACACACGCAAATTCCGTTCAGAACCAAGGAGTATTTTTGAATATGAACCAGGAAAGTCCTCTATCCTTGAACATGAGAGACCAGTAAGTGAAATTGCTCAGTATCTAATTGTGATAAATACTTCTGTGAAAGATGTTCTAGTATTAAAGTCTGATGTTATATATTTATATGCTTTGCAAAGTAATTCCCAAACTTGATACCCTTTAAAGAGATTGGTTGTCTTGGTTGAGGTTTATGAGATTTTTGAGTGAAGGTTTAATGTTATATGGTAGACAAGTTTAAGGATATTTAACTTACTTTGTATTGAGTCTGTTTAACTTTTGAGGGGGGTTAAAATTGTGGAATAATTTTGAAAAATGTAGACTTGTACTTGTTGTATAGATAAGCACATTCTTACAAGTCTCTAATATGAATGTAGAGAGTATACCATCTTGGTAGTAATTTTACCAGCACACGTATAGGGCAGTATCCAAGACTGTTCCTGTGCGAAAAAGGGCTACCACTAACACAGTGGGGGCCTGGAGATTTCTGAGGCAATGGCCGGTGAACAGGGACATTCTTTGGAAGGCTACACCTCGCTAGAAGTCACGGAATGGAGCTTTGCCAGCCAATCCCATTTTGCAGATGGGCCTTCCTGCTCGTTTCTGGGATTATTGCTAAAATGGTATGTTCGCCATTGTGGATCTTGCAAAATAACAGAATAGTGAAGGCAGAGCAGCAGCACTGAATACTGCCCATAAGTAACATGAGAGTTGTTACACATGCAAAGTAAATCCTTTGTCCAGAAAAATTGAATCCACAGACGTTTTTGTTATTTATGTTTATCACTGTTTTCAGAAAGGATGGCTCAGTACACACTTACTGGTGGCTACAATTCTTTACTGGGTGTTTTGAGCGAGGGTTGGAATTACTTAAAAGCATGTTTAATGAGACTATAGTCTTCTGCTTAGGTATCCTTACCACTAACATTTCCAGTAATCCTAAGGGCATCTTATGCTACCCCTGCTCATGCAGATTTGCCTAGTCTCATGCATATGCCTAGTCTTTTCAACCACACCAAACAGAATACTGGCATTGTAACAATAACAACTTTTCCCCACACTGGAGGAAAGTCATGCTTTTCTTGAGTGCCCGGAAGCTGATTTAACTTACCTCGCTTTAATTTGACCAGTACAATTGATATTGCCTAACTTGGAAGCAGCAATTGTGCTTACTTTTATTGAAAAGTTAAATATAATGGGTAGTATCAAATGGGGTGCAACTACTAACATAAATGCATAGCATAAACTGCTCGACCACAACAGCAAGAGCATTAGCTGGTGCCTGTTAATGCTACTAGCATTATGCTAGAGAGGTTAACACTAGTGCAATGTAATTAACATAAACAGTTGCACCCTGTTGGATACTGCTGATAGCGTCATTTTGGACATGATAAATGTAGCTATTGCTCCATTGTTCCAGAATAGCCATTTTGGATTAATTGGATTTTGTACTCCAATTCTGCATTTGTATTTCTTCTGTGATGATGCATTCTGATAATTGTTTTTGATCATTGCTTTCTTTGCCTTATCAAATATGCCAGATTAAGGGTACAATGTATGCAAGTTTAGACATAAAAGAGGCTTAGCACTCCCAGCATGCCCCAGGCAGCTATGCTGAGGCTCGTATACTTTTTCCTGTTTAAACTTTTAATATGATGGTGCCTTAAATATATTATATGGTAGGTTTCTTACATTTCTATCCTTTTCTTGAAGTATAGTTTCCAATATTTTGTTTTATTAATAATGCAAACTTAGCTCAATGTGTCTAAGATCTTGCCGTGCACAGAGTCACTTGTACTAGTATACAATATGTGATGAAATGCCATTATTTCATATACTGCTGAGGTGCTTGCTATTTAATACCTAGGCAGATTTCAAATCAAGATCAGCCAGTTCTGGATACCAGTGTACATAGTAATAGTGCGCTAAGTGCCCCAACTAGGAAGTAGTCATCATCACACTGCTTGCTGTTTCATATAAAGTTCTCTTCTTACTCATTTCATACATTCCTGTTTCATTATGGAAAGCATTTTTCCCACCTTTGCAGAGTTGAGCCAATATCGTCAACAGGGAGGGGAAGAGTGACATCCAGACATGAGATTAGGGTTTCGTGGGGTGGAATTTGTCATGGGTGTGGCTGCCATTTTTGTTGGCATGCCATGCTTCCTATTACTTGGAGTTCCACCCACAGGATGTGTCATCATTAAAATGAATGTGATTTAAGCAGATAGGACCAAAATAAGCATTACTTTAAAACTGTTGTCTAGCAGCTATGGGGTTCTTTTGTTTGTTTTTATTCTAGATTGGAAACAGGGATTCAGATGCTGATCTTAGAAGCCCTTTTTTCCCCATGCTAGCTTCCTAACCATCCATATATTGAACTCCCCACATCTGCTCCAAAGTAAAATGAAGAAATGACATCAGTACTAATCACAGATTTAAAGCAAATGTCTGTTTTGGTCTTCAAATACTTTCTCCATCTAACTTTCTCTGACTTGTACCCATTGCTTGTGGCACTTTCAATAATGCCTCTATACAATCACAATGCAATGGAGGCGTCTGGGGAAACAAACTCATTTCCAAAGCCTGCTGACTAAATTGTGGGTGGGTAGATACGGGTTGGTAAAACTTTCCACAAACTTGCATTGATTAAGTTGCTGATACTTTTATTTATGTCACTGGTGAAGTTTTAGAGCCAAGAATTTGTTTCAGAAAGGGAATTGGTGGTAACTTAAATGAAGTAAACTAATTAGCTGTTCTAATGATGTGTAGGAATTAGAAATTCAGTAGTAATTCCCAGGGGTGTATTTACAAACAGTATGAGAGGGAGAAAGGTAAACTGTTATGGTTGGGTGTTTTTTTGCTAAGTGGTATTTTTATTGCAGAAGTTGTATAACATTTGAAGGTAGTTATTTGGTTGTAAATGTTTATCACATGGCACATAAAGCAGAATTGCAGAACGAATTCACATTCATGGTAATTCGTGAGTGTCTAGATTCAGTAAAGTTGACCCTGCAAGCAAAATAGGAAACCTTTTGTTCTGTTGCAGATTGAATTCCCTACCAGTTCTGACCCCTATAAGCAGCAATCCAACTAGATCTTACCCAGGAAAGGACATATTAAATTATGTCCTTTAAATTAAAAGAAGTAGGAGAGGACTGAACTTGATAAGAAAGACAGTAGGGGAAGCAGTATCTTAACCCTGTCTTTTCCAGCTGTCTTTTTACCCAAATTGCCACTTTTCCTATCGGATCTTCAATCATTGGTGAAAAAGAGATGACTACCCATGTATCTAGTTTGACTGTGATTTCATGGATTCTTTCAGTTTCCCCAGTGTTGAATATTACTGAGTTTTCTAAGCATTTTCATATTATGAAAAATAATAAATTTTTTGATACATGTTAAAAGAGAACTGCACAGTGGTATAAGTTTCAAAGAATGTGAACATTATAAAATAGTTGTGCTGTTCCAAAAATAACTTCGTTTTGAACACTATCTAAATCAATTAACACACAGTTAAACTGTGAATGTAACATTAGTTTGGAAGTCTCCATTGTATGACTGATGTTAATTATAAAGCAGTTCATTTGCATAATGTAATAGACATTGCTTTTTTTGGACAGAACTGCAAAATTTGTGGACAAAAATGCAATTTACAGAGTGTAATATAATTGGATCTTTGTCACTTTGGATTGTGCTCAGGAGGTGGGAAATTATTTCTCATTACCTGGGGGTGTAATGTGGATTGAAATATGACCAGTACCAACATGAATGAAATTATTACATGACAGTATGATGTACCAGGGAAAGGATAGGCATATGTGTTAGGTTTACATACTGTTATCAGAGTCATTTTGCACTTTATACAGAAGCAAAGGAAGCAAAAGCATGGCTTTCTTGCTTCAGGTGCTTTCTTATGTGAATGTTTGACTCCTGCATTTCTGCCTCCTCAGTTGACCTCTTCATTTCTGGTATGTCTTTTGTGCCTTTAAGAAATTAATGGCAGGGGAAAAATGAATACGAAATTCTCCCAAGGCAGAGATACAATCATGGGAAGAGTTTTGCATCTTGGAATGCTGGGCTTATATCTGTTAAAGGTACAGGAGCCCAACCATCCCAATAATCATAATCATATTATAATCATTTATGATATAACCATAAAACTGAACACTGTATGGAATTAGAACAAGGTCCGCTGCAAAATTTGTGCAGTAATAATAATGTTAACCTAGACTGAGAAAGCTGCCCTTCTTCTGGAATGTTATTATCAATCCTATAAAAATGAGAATGAACTGCATATTGAATAAATCAGTGCTATAAAATATCAATCATTACCTAGTCCAAGGGCCTTGGGCACAAACCTCTGAAGTTCTTCTACACAAGCTGCATTCAAATGAATAAGAACTGCAGAAATTCCCACAGCTGAAGAAGGCAAATACACACCACTAATAAAAGAGAAGAGGCTGCTGTTTCGCCATAATGCTATACCATATTCTCATGCTATAGGAATGAGTCTGGACAAGCCTTGAGCTCATGTGTTCCCCACACCCTCAAGCAGGGCTGAGAAGTGGACAGCATAAGCTTCTTGTTTTCATCTCATTGTGGTTTGTCACCATGTCCAAACAGGGCTGCTTTAATTATGATCCATCTAAACAAGCTCACTTGTAACCATGGTCTATGAACCTGGCTTCTTCAGTAAACCCTAGTTCAAACTAATTGCAGTTCCCAGTTTGGATATAAAGGGAAACCACAGTTAGTTGAAAAGGAGAGCTGATGATTCTTATTTCAGTGTCAACACTTGGGAAGGAGAGGGGAAGGAGAAGTCCACAAATCCGAGTCTTACTTATGCTCATTCCTGCAGTGCTAAATTTATTGTTTAGGGTTTCATCCAAACACAGAAACAGAACTATGCAGTCATTATTCTCAGCAGTCAATACTATCTTTCTAGCTGTGTTATGCTAATTTTTCACTTATTGTAGGCAAGAAACCCTGTGTTCTGAATTAAATCTCAATTAAAGATAGCTGATTTTGCTTAGAAATGC